CCGAGGCTGGTGTATTAATTTCCCATAAAGAAGTTTTTTAATGTTTTTTTTTTGGAATAATAATATTATAAATAAATAAATAAATAAATAAATAAAACGCCCCGAATAACGCTGAGTTTAGATTTGCAACGGGCGAGGAACGAAACACCTTTGCTTGCTATTTTTAAAGCTCTCTCGTTATTTTTCTTGGCTGCTGTCACTCGAGGTGTTGGCAAGCAGGGGACTGGGAGGTAATGGCTTCAGTTTGTTTGGCTCTGTGCGTGCTGGAGAGCCAATGAAGAACCCTTTAACCCTTCTACCTGTGATGCAGTCCTGCAGCCAATTCCAACGCCGCGCAGGACAGTGGTGCAGAATCGTAATAATTATTATTATCGCAGTAATAATCATTATTATCAGCGCTGTGCGCAATCGGCTGCCGGGTTTCACCCACAAAATGCCCAGTCGATTCACTTTAAAGTATATCCTGTGACGGGCTTTGAGACGTCTCAACGACGTAATTAGGAACTGTATCAAACGCGAGGATTTGTTTAGTCACAGAGACACCCTGGCTGGGCTTACGGTACACACCCACGCACACACACGCTCTGCCTGACAAGCTTTCCCGTTGTTTGTCCAGCTCGAATCGCTCTACCCGTTAAGGCTTTGGCTTGCAGTGTTGACAGGAGCTGAGTGGGAGGATTCCCTGCCCCCAGTGACTGGTCTGCCCTTCCAAGTCCTGCTGATGAGCCGGGCTGTGCCGTTCTGTCATCTGCAGTGTCCTGGAATACTGCGGTCTCACCTGGCTCAGAGACCGCCACCGAGGGCTGGCGTGGTCCCGACATTCGGTTGCCAAACATGTCACCTTGGAGCTCCAAGGAGACCCTGCATTTATCTCCCTCCCCATGGAGGACACACACAGCACACATACACAGCGCACACACGCCCACACACACTCCTGAATATCTGTCACACGCTATCCTCTGAGATAGAATATTAATGTGATTACATTTTTAACCATTTCCAAGCCTTTCTCTTTAACTTGAGGTCATAACTCATTTGTTGTTACCAAAATTTCCCTTTGTGCTGCCATCCTCCCAGGTCCCTTAAGCCCCCCCCCAGGTAGCCTCGCTCTCCTCCCTCCCTCCCCAGAGGACTGCATTGCGTGACACTAGTCACTGCTACTTAAGATGCTGGTGGCCGGGTACCAGAGAGGTGCCAGCGTCAGCCCACAGGGGAGAAATAATTTATTTCGCAGAGCAGAGTGTGAATGCACACTTGTGTATACCGTGCGTGCATGGATTACAAACTGCAGCTGAGCATCCGAGTTGCAGTTGACGAGGTGAGGCCAAGCTGCCGATCAGCACGTTTTCTAAACATTAAATTGCACCCAGCTGCGTTCCCGCGGGACCCATCTGCCATCTTCCCGTTTGACGACATTTTCGCCCGCAAAATACACAGTCACTCTGTGGGGATAAGGCGCTGTATCAAATGCAAAGATTGCCATTATTATCACACGCGTTTCAATCCGAACGGCTGGCTCCGATAATAGATGATGCAGTCTGCAGAGCGAATGCAAAGGTGCAATGTGCATGTGCCTGTGTGTGCGCTCGAGTGTGTGAGTGTGGGTGTGTGTGGTGGGGTGGGGTGGGGGTGGCGGGAGGGTGGGGGGGCAGTGCAGGGAGAACACTGCGCGGCTCAGATGGATCCTAGTGATGTTCAGCATATGTAGGTCAAGTCAAAAAGAACACAAGTGATCGCAGGACTTAGCCGCAGTGCATTACAGACACCACAACATACCAACTAATCATAGGGATATTACAGATGATTTGCATGCAGCTTAAGGAGCTTCTGTCTTGCTCTGCATTTCGCACACGCTCGCTCCTTCTTCAGCTGATGAAACAAATGTGTTCAATTTGTCATTCGAGAGCGGTGGGCGGCTTTGTTTTTTTAAACACACACACACACACAAAATGAAAAAAAAACTAAATTGATTAATCGCCTCCAGTGCGGATTTTATGAACTCTGTTTTTTACGGTCAGCTAAATTTCTTGCAAAGAGGGTGAGATAACCATAAAAGTGAAATTATCCAGACACTCGCTGCTTATATTTTAATATTATAGTTAGGCTTATGATTCCAGCCTCCACCCACAAGAGCCAACTGCAGTATTTCTTTCTGGGTGAGAAATGAGGACATTAATGCTGGATCCTGTTACTTCTCCTCTTGGCCACGAGGTGGGGGGATTCTGGAAGGACGGAGCCTTAATCATAATCAATAATTATTGGCCTTTTTTTTTACGAGGGTGAAAAGTTTGACATTTCAGTGCTGGTAAAAACAAATGCCGGGTAATATAATAGCTGGTAATATCAAGTTACTTTTTTAACCCAAAGCTGTGAAATGATTGAATGCCTTTGCCTCTAATATGCACTTTGCCACCTTCCCTTTATTGATGGGATTTAATTATAATAATAATAATAATCCTTGCATTTGATACAGCGCCTTATCACAGTGTTGAGACGTCTCAAAGCGCTTCACAGGATATACTGTAAAGTGGAGTGGCCGCGTATTTTGCGGGTGTCGCGCTGCAGCCAGTTTGCGCACAGTAATGTCCGACAAACAGGCAGGGCAAGGAGTGAGCGGATGGTTTGTATTTGGTGCGATCGTTGGCCAGGAACCTGGTAAAACTTGGGAAAAGAAATAAAACAGATGGACCGGGAAGTGGCAGGCATTAGAGTTTGCAGCTGCTAAGGCAATGGAGGAGATGGAAGCTGCACAGGCTCGATGGGCCAAAGTGCCTCTTGTCATTTCTTTAACGCTGAATAAAGTTGCTCAGCGACGATGTGAGATTGTCGTCAGATGCTGACCGGGCAGCAGAGCGTCTGTTCTGCACTGTGGGCAATGGACCGCGTGGGGTTTGCTGCACCCAAGCTTCAAAGAGACCAAATCTGACAGTTAGATAACAGATAATGATACAGTCCAGTGCTTTGGCACACTGACACGTCTCAGGGTTTTTCCGTACAGTGTAGTGACTGTGCATTTTGTAGGCAAATAGGGCATCCGTTTGCGCACAGCAATATCCCGCAAACAGCCACGAGGCGAATGAACCAGTTTTATCTGGGCGCTGGGGGTGGGGTGGAACTGTTGGCCAGGACACCAGGAGAAACTCGCTTCCCTTTTGAGATTGCGCCACGGGATCTTTAACGTCCACCCAGACCAGGCAGCAGGGACTTCAGTTTGACTTCTCATCCAAAGCACGGCACCTCTGACAATGCAGTGATGCCCCCTCCACCCCCAACACCCTTCCCCCAGCACCGAATTGGAGAGCCGGCCTAGAATGTGAACTCAAAGTCCGACTCTGGAACTTGATCCCACAAACGCCCCCGCTCTGGTATTAAACACCAGAATAGATTTGTATAACATGAACGCAATGTCAGATGGCTGGAGATACACTCTCCTCGATGCAGAATTTCTCCCTCTCTCCCCCCCCCCCCCCTCCCACCCACCACCCCCAATAAAAAAAAAACACAATCGCAATTTGATACCAGTGTATCTTTTTTTTATTTTATTGTGTAAAAATAAAATTGACAGTACATGTCACATTTGCATCAAATGAAAAAAAGCATTAATGACATAAAAACATAGCGCCTTTTGTTAAGAAATGTTGGAACGATGAACTCTCCAGCTCGTTACATCATCCAGAAAATGAGATGGGTGGGAGGTTGGTGGTTGGGCTTTCTGCCCCCTCCCTCCCTGGAACTCCATCCTGGAGCCCCTCCGCCTCACCCCATCCTTTGCCTCCTTCGAGGCCCATATCAAGGCTTTCCTCTTCGACCATACCTTCGGTCATCCTCCCACCTCCACCTCTCTTGACTCCAACCCCCAGCTCAGGTGCAAACCCTTCACTGTCCAGCGCCTCCCTATGTGAAAGGTGCTATAATAAATGTTTGTTGTTGTTGACGGGGGGGGAAAGAGTCTGGAGTTGGAATATTTACAACTTTGGTTTGAATGTGACAGTCTTTATGATACATAAACTCTCGTATTGTACAATATTTACAGACCTTAGTATTTCCCATTGCTTGTGAAGAATCAATATATTTGGCGAAATAAAACTAACCTTTTGAGTAAATTTCAAAAACAAACAAAATACTAAACATTCTCACACTCAGGCATCACATTTATTAAACTTGTTGGTGCGACTCCAAAATTTCTTCGAAAAAAAATAGTCCTTTTCACTGGAGGCACTAAATTGCAGTTTTCATTTCTGTCTGTCTCTCTCTCTCTGCGGAAATCTCCAGTTCCGATAATGGTTATTATTGATGATGAATTAATCGTACACCTCACGTCAAAAAAATATAGATAATTGAAGCACAGAATTTTTTTTTCAACGTTGCCATGCTGTAAGCATATCCATATGATGGATTGTTTCCTTGTGTGTACTGACTGTATATATATATATATATAAAAAAAACACAACACAACCTTTTCCTTCCACATTATTCTACATCTTCGTTTTAACTCAAAGGCCTTGTCCCCGTGTTTGGTTCGAGACCGTGGTTTAATACTGAGGTCCTCATAGTACAAAAAAAATTGCTTGTTTCATTTTTTTGTATGAGCAGGAAAGACCTGGTCTGTTTCTTTTGTTCACCCTATCTGGATGATTGCTGAGGTGATGGGATCGTTTTAAAAAGTAGGAAAACTCAACAAAAAAAAAAGAGGAAAGCAAAACAGAAAAGGGAACGAAATGAAAATGTTGCAGTGTTGACCTTTCAAAGGCACCCAGGCTAATTGGCACCGAGTAAACTCATCATCCGATATATAAAGCTGAGGGATTACCCTCAGGTGCCTTTGCTGTTATTTGAAGCTCCCCTGATGCTCCACCTCAATGATGCCTGAGAAGCATCGAGTTGTCATCACAGGGTTTTGTAAATATTTTATGAACACAATTCCCCCCCCCCCTCCCACCCAACCCCAACCCTTCCCTCTATTCCCTCTACCTCCCCCAACCCACCCCCCCCCTTCCCCTTTTTGCACAATAAACTTCTCGTTCGGAAGTTTTGATTTCCTGAAGAAAAACAATGGATTTTGATATCGGTGCTGTGAAAGGATTCGCTTTCCTCCCTCCTCCTTTCTCTCGCCCTCCTCTTCCCTCCCCAACCCCAATCCCATTCAAGTCTTCAGTTGATCTGACGACACGCTTCAAAAGTCCACTTGGTGGCACCTCCGAAGATGTCCACATTGGCTTCAGTCCATGCAATGACATTTCCTACCAGGGTCTTGGAACTGCAGTTTGCCAGGCTGTAGATCTCTCCTGGGGTCAGGACTCGGTCCCACATGTGAAAATGGGACATCTCGCCCACAAAGGCTTGAGTGGCATCGAATCCACCTCCTAATGAATCCTGATTTTACACACACACACACAAAAGGAAAGGAACAAGTTCAGTCACTTAAGAATATCAATGCAATCCATTTTTTTTTGCCTTGCCTTTGGAAATTTCACCCACAAAATACAGTCCATCCACTTTACAATGTATCCAGTGAAGCACTTTGAGATGTCTCAGTGATCAGGTGCTACATCAAATGCAAGGATTATTATTATTTTATTATTATTGTAATAAATTGATTTCCTCTGCTTTAAGCATCGACCACTTTTTATCTCCATGTTCCAGTCAAAAGCCACAAAAAGGGGACACACAAACTGGCTTGGCCACTTGTACACAGATTCCCAGTCCTCAAGTGAAGGTGTGACAATCTACTATTTCCACGCAGGATAGATTAAGATGAAGAAAGTGCCTTTCTGCCCATTTATTTCATCTAATTCGTCCAGTAAACCCAGCCCACTGTCTTCACATCACAGTCTCAAACTGTTTCTTTAAATGAGTTCAGTGTTCTGCCCTCCGCCACGTTTGCTGTTAACCTTTAAACAGCTGTTAGTTGCCATCCGTCTTCCAAAGAGAGCGAGCGCAGTTGGAATGGACTATGTGGTGAAAGAGGAATTGTAACAACGTAATGGAATCCTATCTCCCAAGATCAAACTCCATCGCTCTGGCATAGCGCTGATTGCATTGCTGTACGACAATGTGAATTCAGGGCAAAGTGCCAACTTTCTCCCTTTACGGGGTGGAAGGGGGTAGGAAGTTACCAGTATTTAAAGCATTTGGCACCACGATTCATTCCATTTAACTCAACTCTATTTTGGAGATACAAGCAGCCCAGCCCGTTGGTTCACAATTTACCAAATGGGGTACAAACGAGACAACTAGGAGACCCACTTTTGGTCCCATCTTGAACACAAAGTGATACTCATGTGAGGAAAATCAAAATTTTTTAGCATATTGGTCGGCCCTCCTATAAACTATACCCTCACAACTCAATCCTCAGCCTGGACTTAGAGGGCAGTGTCCCGAAGGTCATCTTGTCCGAGCCTTCAAGACCAATTTTGTCTTTGTTGTATAAACACACACACACCCCACACACACACAAACTACATACCTCACACACACCCACTGCACCACACACACACACACACACACACACACACCCACTGGGCTTGCTAATTTTTTTTAGTAAACCTGTAATTTGGGAGCTTTCAAATCAGGATGGAATTTAAGAATTTTCCTCGGTTTAAAAGTTTTAAGACAAAAAAAAACAATGGTCTCACGGTCTCGAGGTTGAACGGAGTGAAAGGCTCTGAACCAAATGCAGAGATTATGGGTTATTATTATTCATTGCCTCCGTTTGTTTTGTCATTGCTGTGGAGGACAAGACACCTTTGCTGTAGGCATTGGCAATGATTCAGTTTGCAGTAGGAACGACGCTAGAGCATCAAGGCTGGAGTCGATCGCTGGCTGATAGCTCCAAAGTTGGCTATTTTTAGACAGCGTCTGACCTCGTTAGCACTATTCTTTCATTCGTTTCTGCAACATGTCATTTTTTTTTGGTCAGCCTGGTGTCTTGACACACGCGGAAACCCATCACCATGGTTTAAGAGTCTCCAAACTAAAATTCTGCATCGTGTTGTGTGGCCAGGAGGGAGGGGAGGGGAGTGGGGCAATGGGGGGAGGGGGTGGGCAAGTACTCTCACCTGTTCTTGCCCCAGAATGAGAACTCCGCCAGGTTTGATGGGGTGCCAGGGGGCCAGGTTCTCCCCATTGCCTCGCTGCAGTCCGTCCTGATAAGCTTCCCACACGCCATCCCTGGTGGACCAGGTTACGCAGATGTGATGCCATTTCCCATCATTGATAACGAAAGGCAGTTTGGCCACCTGATAAGTAGGAGGTGAGGGGGGGGGAAGGGGGAAACAAGCGTTAAAAATAGCATTTACCATCTGTGTCAACTTTTAAGTCATCAACTGCGAAAGGGGAAAAAAAAAATCACGGCTCCTGCACTGGGTCACAGCAAGGAGAGGGGGGGGGGGGGAAGCATTCTATTGCTTGTGCTGTTGGGTTTGGAGGTTAGGGGCAGCAGTGCCAGTGTTTAAAGGTGCCCCCCCCCCACCCTCTCTCTGTTCGACATCTATGGACGTCCTCCCGATGCGAAAAGCACTGTATAAATGCAATTTGTTGGTTGTTGTACTGGGAATGCGCCAAAGTGGATCAGCCAGTGTGTTTCTGTATCCCCAGCATCTGGAGTGAGATTTCGCCCACAAAGTATGGTCAATCAAATGACGTGATCAGGCTCTATTTCAAATGCAAGTTATTATTATTATTAGGAAGGAAGGAAATGGAAGGAGGGAGACGAGGGGTCTCCTTAACTGAAGCAGTCATTGACTCAAGCTTTCCGGGGCACACACACAGCACCTTGAGACATCCTCCCGATGTGAAACTGTTGTTGTTAGCTCCCAGCCACACTCCTGTTATTTTAGTAGTCCAGTTTAACTCTGTGTGTGTGGTGGGGGAGAGTGGGATTGCGTTCTAAGACAGGTGTGGTTGGGTGGGGGGGAATACAACAATAACAACAAAGGTACATTTATATAGCGCCTTTCACGTCACAGGGAGGGACGTCTCAAGGCGCTAAAATACACCCTCCAGCAGAATGCATTCATTGTCTTGAAAGGTAAGGCAGATGCGATGCCATTTTCGCCTACAAAAATGCAGTCAATTCCACTTTATGGTATATTCGGTGAAGCCATTTGAGATGCCTCGACAAGGTGATAAGGCACGATATCAAATGCAATGATTATTGTTATTTGCAAAAGAGAGGTTTTGCCATCTCCTCTGATAGATTACCTCTTGGTAATCGATCAATTTTTTGTTTAAACAACCAGCCAAGTTACAAAGGGTATATGACTGCGGCACCTCTCCTTACCCCCTCCTCCCTTCACACCCAGCAGTAACCTGGTGGCTCTACCCCCACCCCTCTGCCCCATTACCTTGTCATTGATCAGGATCTCCATTGGATTGTTGCCCCATTCAATGAGTACCAGCTCATTCGGCTGACCCGGGATAGCGTAAGAGAAAGGGGTTCCCACCCCTGGGGAGGCGTTGGACTTGAGCCACAGGCAAACTGTCATAGCATACATCTCAGGCAGGCTCTTCTTCACCTTGGCATACATGTAGTTGGTCCTCAGGGGGAAGGTGATCTGGAATTTATTGGTCGGCCTGGAATTTTTTTGCCCTGCAAAATATCCAACAAAGACCCCCCAAAAGATGCAACGCATAAAACGTATATAAAAGATGTATATTGTGTGTGAGTGTGTGTATATATATATATATGTGTGTGTATATTGTCTGAGTGTGTGCATATGTACTGTGTGTGTATGTTCATTATTCTGGCTCTTTCCTCTGCTATGTTAACAGTTGCAAAAGCGAGCATTTTTTTTGCAACAGAGAATCTGGCGCATTCTCTCTCCCTGGATTCGCAAGCAAGCATTTGTTATATAACTGGTTAATCTCTTCTTCTCGCCCGCAGTATAATCCCAGTCATGTGAGCCCGTTTCCCTGGGACATCTTCCATTTCATTATACTGCTCTGTACAGCTGCTGCGCAATGCACAATGCACCATGGAGTGAGAGAGAGAGAGAGAGAGGGGGGGGGGGGGGGGGGGGGGGGGGGAGGAAAAAGAAAGGGGGAGGGGAAAGAGAGAGAGAGAGATAGAGTGAGAAGGGGGAGGGGAGAGTGGGGGAGGGGAGAAAAGGAAGAGGGAAGGTGGGGAGGAGAGTGTGGGGGAAAGAGACAGAGAAGGGGATGAGAGAGACAGGTAGAGGGGGAGAGGAGTTGAGAGAGAGAGAGAGAGAGAGAAATGGGGGATGATGGAGAGAGAAGGGAAAGGGGTGGGAGAGAGAAGAGAAAGGGAGAAGGCAGAGGGAGGGGAGAGAGAGAGAGAGAGAGGTGGGGGGGGGGGGGGAGAGAAAGGAGGAGAGAGCTGCAATAGACAGTGCTTTAGGAAGTTTTTGGGGGAATCCGCTTTGCTTGGCTGTTGTCCTATTGCGCTTTGCTGCTCAACCCCCTTTCTCTGCAAACCTGGACCACAGACAGACAGAGAGACAGACTGCGCCAATCTTAAGTGTGGGGGCAAGTGGGACCGACACCTACCCCCCCCCTTCTTGTATCCCCCCCCCCCCCACCCCCAGAGAGTTCTGCAAAAAAAAAAAAAGCCATAAAAATGCCAATTCGCTGGGCTTAAAGCTTCCTCTGCCCGAGCACTGAGATGCAATCAATATACAGTGCTCTGGTTTGGATTCACGGCTACAAAGACCCCAGAGATTGAATGAATCTCTCTCTCTCTCTCCCTCTCTCCCTCTCCCTCTCTCCCTCTCTCCAGTTAATGACCCCCTTTTCATTGTGATCAGAAAATGGACATGTAATGGGAGCCAGAAATACATTAGAATTGGGGGGTAATTAGCGCGGAGTATTGCAATGGAAAAAAAGATGCTCTCTTTACGCAACAGAGATGCATTAGCATCCTTTCCTCCCCCCCCCCCCCCCCACCCCCCCACACACACACCCACACACACACACACACACATCTCTCTCTCTGGATCCTATCTCTCTCCATGTCTCTCTTTCTCTGTAGGTGCGTATCTTTTTCTGGGTGTCTGTGTGTGTGTGTGTGTGTGTCTCTCTCTGTGTATCTCTCTCTTCGCCTGTGTGTGTGTGTGTGTCTCTCTCTCTATCTTTCTCTCTCTGTGTGTGTCTCTCTCTCTCTCTCTCTCAACTGCAACTTGAAACCCATCTTCCCTTCCTTTATTCCCCACAAGATTCACGTCGCGTTTTAAACGGATATCCCACACTTTCTGTGCTGTGTGTTATCGTTCATCCACACACACACACACAGACACACACAGACACACACACACACACACACACACGAGCCCCTCTCCCTGTCTCGCCAAGTGACTTATACACGGAAGGCATTCGTTTATAGATGTTGAATTTGTTTTGTGGTGGGGGTGGGGGTGGGGTTGGGGGGGTGGAGGGGGGGTTGGGGATGAGAATGGGCTGCATTTATACACCGCAAGAGTTGTCAATATTGCAACCAACAATTTCCAATTTCCAAAGCCACACAACACACACAAAACACACACACACACACACCTCCTCGTTGCTCAGCATTGTGTGGGGGGCGATGGAACAGGAATCACATTGCATCTCTCTCTCTCTCCTCATCCCCCCCCCCCCCCCACCCCCTACCCCCACCATCGTTACTCTCTTCCATCATCCTTACTCTCACTCTCTCTCTTCAAATGCAACCCATCCTCTCTCCCTCTTCTCCCCTGTTATTCTCTCTCTCTCTCTCTTTCGCCACCTCCCCATCTCTCTGTCTCTCTCCCCCCCACCCATCTCTTATTCTCCCCCCCCCCCCCACCAACCTCTCTCTCTCTCTCTCTGTAGCCGCCTACCTTTCTCTAAGTCACTGATCCGCTGGTGGAGCGAGTTTAATGCACTCTCGATTTTACCCCGATTTTCCGTCGATTCGTTTTTCACCAGGTTCTTGGTGTCTTCCAGGCTGTTGACTCGGGACAGAACCTGCCTCTCCAGGTCCTCGATCTTGTTCTGCAGAAGGTCCTTCAGGCTGTTGGACTGTGAGGATGTGTTTCCCCGACCGTATTGCTATTAGGTGGAGGGGGAAGGGGAGAAGGAGATGGAGATATAGATAGAGAACATACACAAGATAGAGAGGCAATACGAGGCTTGGAAGCAGATGATTGCTAACCTATAAGGGTGGATGGTGGTGGCAAATCGCGATGGTCCATTGGATTAAAGACATCTATCCTCTCTATCACTATCTCTAAGACGTTACTGGGTAAATAGAGGGGTGGGGGAGGTAAGAAAACAGAGGGCAACGAGGGGTGGGTGGGTGGGGGGGGGAGAGAAACGACTAAAAGCATCTCTTTCTCTGACGAGGAACTTGGACAAACATTTTTTTTCCTCCACCAAATTAAAACAAATCCATTTTTTTTTTTAATTTCGAATATTCCAACAATCGTTCCATCTTTCGCCCTTGGTGGAGATTTCCTGAGGTGGGTGGGTTAGTTGGTTGGTTTATTCTTTTCTCTTTTTTTTAAGAGAGGGGGGGGGGTATGAGAGAGAGAGAGAGAGAGAGAGAGGGGAGATGGGGGGGGGGGGGGGTTCTGGGTGGGGGAGAGAGAGAGAAAGGGAGAGGAGAGCGGAGGAGAAAATGAATCTCCTGTGGACTTCGTTGGGGAACTTTGATCTATGTATTTGCCAAAATAAAATTCGCCCACAAAATATACAGTCAATTCCCTTCACAGTATATTACGCGAAACGTCTCAATGAGGCACTATATCAACTGCAAGTATAATAAATAATAATAATAATGAAAAAAAAGTCGGTTTTCTCTCTTTCTCTCTCTCTCTCTCTCTCTCTCACAACAACTTATAGTTACCTCTAATGTCTCCAGGCGTGATTTGAGCAATTGTAAAGTTTGTCCAAGTTGGCTTAAGGCTCCAAATGACTTTGACTTTGGGTTGGGGTTTGGGTCACCCTGTACGGCTGTCCCGCTCAAACTCACCGGTGGCTCTGGGGCGCTCTGGCTCTCGCATCTGTTCAGCTTGGCAGTCAGTTCCCTGATGGTCTCCTTCTGGTTCATGATGGTCTCCTTCTGCTGTAGGATGGTCTCCCGGAGCTGCATGATGGTCCCCTTGATGTCGTCGGCCGGCCCGCTGTTCTGCATGGGCGCCGAGCACATGGGGTCCATGTCCACCGGGATGGAGGTGCAGATGAAACGGGTTTGGCCGAAATCCGTCTGGGCTGAGGCTCCCAGCGTCAGGAGGAAGAGGAGCCGGATGGAAAAAGAGCCGCAAGAGATGGGACGGGACATTATCTCGGGTCGTCGGTGGCTGAGCTGAGCTGATCTGTGCTGAGCTGATCTGTGCTGAGCTGAGCTGTGCTGAGCTGAGCTTCTTTGGTGGAGAGACTTCAGCACCAGGGAGCTGTCCACTAGACCAGCGCGCAGTGAGGAAGGTGCTGAGGAACTGCCTTTATACCCACAAGAGGCGTTGCTCACAAGCTTTGCGCGTCATTAATGGGGTGGAATCCCTCTTTAATTGCTCCATTTCTTGCCTTGTGACCACGTCAATCGTGCCTCCACCTTAACATCTTTGCCTCGAACCTCCCCCCCCACCCCCACCACCCCCCACCCCATCCCCATCCCCACCCACCCACCCCCCCCCCCCCCCACCCACCCCCTCCTCTCCCTCCCTCCATCCATCCAGGAAGAGAGATAGTGAGAGTTTCTGTGGGTTTTTTTTCCTCTCTTTTTTTATATACAGAGAGAGAGAGATTCCCTGAAACGCTTTGGGACGTCTGGAAGACTCGATACGACTCTATATCGAATGCAAGGATTGGGTGATGATGATGATGATGATGGTGATGGTGATTTTTTTTTCACGTCTTAAACCAGTAATCAATCGCTTTTGAGAGTGCAACCCATTATTTTATTCCATTTTTTTGTGTGGTTGCAGCTGATTTTAGTGGAGAAGTCGGAGAATTGTGAGGATTTTTAGCGCTGGCATTTAAAGCTGGTGCTTTTTTTCTTGTTTTTTTAAAAAAAATATGATATATATATACGTGTGTGTGTGTGTAACAAGTTATGACATTGATACTTGTCGATATTATTTATCTGCCGAGACGTGGGATCAATGTGGGTGACTTTGTTTTAAGGAAAAGGGTGGGATCAAAGTGATGTATTGTCTCTGTAGTTATCGATAGAATAATAATGATGATTATCGTGATGATACCCCTTGCATTTGATATGGTTCATGTGTAGATATCCATCAAAAATCTACATATGCTTCATTAACGTCGGTGGCTGCCGAGTGCAGTGACTTATGTTTGCAATAAAAAGTTTTACGAATACATAGGGAGATTAAATATTTTGCACCCACGTTGCATGCGACTTTTTAGGAGATTTTTCTTATATCACACACATACAAACACATATTCCCAAACCACCAAACCACCCATATCCCGTTTTCTGCGAACAAATCCTGATATTAAAACAAAGAACAACGAATAAAGAATTCCAGTGTGATATTGAGTGCATTGATCTATTCCAATCGATTGCGTCCAATCCATTTTTGTTCCGTGTTTCAGAAAGTTGGCTTAACGATTGAACAGAAAGCTGGAAGGGTTATTGTATATTGCAAAGCAAATTTTGGAGTTAATTTATGGGATGTCTTAAGTGCGATCCAAGTCGTGCATTCCAGAGTATGAGTCAGTCAGACATGAAATATTTACACTTGTATGTGAATTGTTTGCACTGTACACCAGTCGGTTCCCTGTTCACTGCCCAGTCCCAATCCCTCCCTTCACAAGTCTGGCGACAACTGCATCAATCCACTGACCAGTGACTATTTCAAACGTCTCAAGGTAAAAAAAAAGGGAATTAAATCAGGCATAAAACGTCTACTTGTTGGGCACCTGAAGCCTATCATCTGCAGCACTGATAGCAATGCCTGTAATTGTTATACACTGCAATCTGCATCTGGTGGGTGTAGGGTCTGTGTTTGTGTGTGTGTGTGTGTGAAGGAGAATATGTGTCTACGTGTGTCTGTGTAATTCTTATTGCTCTTTCCCAGAGAACAGACACACACACACACACACACACACACAGACCCTCCCACTATCATGCAGATAAAATCATGGGTGGAGAGATTTTCTCTTTCTCCAGCCCTTGTTCACAACCCCCCCCCACATCATAAAACACACACACACACACATCTGCAAAGCTGGTTTATTGCCTTCAAGCCACCATCCATTTCACTTTCATTCCATTGCTTCCCTTTTATCCAAGCGTGTTTTTTTTCGACCAGTTTCACGAGGTGAGTGGAATTCACCCAAATCTTCAATCACCCAAATCTATCAGTCTCTCTCTCTCTCTCTCTCTCTCACTCACTCACTCACTCTCCTCCCACCCAAGTACCCTCTGGCTTGCCCAGCGTGAAACAGACACCAGATTGAGCAGTAGGGAGAGATGGTGGGGGTAAATGCAGACTTGTGTGTGTTTATGTGTGTGTGTATGTGTGTGTGAGAGACAGTGTCTGATTCTCGTTGAGATGTGATTTTTTTTTACTGTATCCCAGGGAAGATTTCACCCACCCACCACCACACACACAGGCACATAGACACGCACACCCCACTCTCACACACAGACACACACTCTCCCCTCCCACACAACATAGGCACACACACATAGACACACATCCCACCTCCCACGCAAACAAACTAGACCCTCCACACACACACACACACACACTTACCCAACACACTTTTTAGGTGTCTGATACATGGGGGGAACCCATCATCTTGCATAAGAGTATCCAAACTGAGAATTCCATGCATAATAATAATAATAATAATAAATCTTGCATTTGATATAGCGCTTTTCACGTCTTCTCGATCCCTACATGTAGAAATTCCAGAGATAGATTGTAGGAATGGAACGTGCGCTCTCTCAGGTACTCATCCTGCTTACCCAACTCATGCAGGTTGGCAAGAGCCGGGAGAAATTGTCCCCATCTCGACTGAGGCAACTGAGGAATTCAGAAAACTTCAGTTCCTGGGAAAGGCTGAGTTAGAGCTGGAGACCATGCCGTAAAATTTGATTGTAATATATCTGGAGAAACTAGAGAGGAATGTTCGGCTATTGTAGTATGAATAAACTACAATATTCATCTCATTTTGTGAAATGCTTTGAGACATTTCTCCCAGGTGAACGGTGCTGTAGTAAACATGTCCGTTGTTGCAGAGGTTGTAATGGAGCAACACAGGGAACGTTGAGAGGGCAACGTGATACTTTTAGAAGTAGGCAGAACTTGTAAAAAAAAGTTTCTGAAAGTCCCAATGTGCCACTGCGTGTCTAACTAACATTTTCAAGTGCTATGAAGGATTGTAGCTTGCATTCCACCCACTTTAGAAGTCAGACTTTGTCACCTGCACACGGACACCCACTAAGAAGAACACTCCCCCCCAGCTCTGTTTCTCCGTGCAACACTGGACATGGTCTTCAACTCCCCACCCACCCTACTCGCACTCCTCTCCCCTCCCCCCTTCCTTTAGGAAAATGATAAGCATTTTGGGCTAGAATTGCTTATCAGTTTTCATGATACGTTTTTCATTGTTGCATTGACAAGAATGGCATTTGAGGCATCAGTTAGAAATATTGTGTGTGTAAAGCTGATTATTTCAAAGGTCTGCATAAGTGTCAGCTCGGAGTCACTCGGGCACTGGGAATAGATTTATGGTACTCAGTGAAGGGCAACCAGCCAGTGGATCATAGAAAAAGACACTCTGGAGATTGATTTGTCAACAGACCATTCTTACAGGAAGACCTGGTCACTGCTATACTTCCATCGAAGTATAAGGGAAATGCCTTACTCTCTGTTTGACAAAAATAATCCATCCTCTGCAATACATGTTTGTAAAACTGTCATCCCCTCTTATCTTGATGCGAGGAGACCACTTGCATTATCTTCTGGTAATATCCATTATTTAGTAGAAAAACACAGCCTGGCAAAAAGCATGACAGTAACTGGAAAATATATACTGCACTCAGACAGCAAGGAAATTGGAGAGAGTATATATACAACAATAACAACTTACATTTACACAGTGCCTTTCACATAAAAGAAACATCTCAAAGCACTTTACAGAATGTGATTAATTAGAGATGAAGCGAATGAATGTCCTTATGGGCGCTGATGCAGGGCTTATTTGCTTCAGCAATTCTTTGTCCGAGACAAAAATAATACTAATAATAATCCTTGCATTTGATATAGTGCTTTATCACATCTTCAAGATGTCTCAAAGTGCTTCACAATTAAATAAGTGGGCAATCCATTTGAATTTGGGGGGCAATTTAGCCAAGGAGAGGAATATAACTGGGAGAAAAACTCCACGTTTCTTTAATATTGCAACAGATGGGAGAGAGAGAAAGAGGGCGTACTTTAAAACGTCCACTTGAATCACAAGGCAAATGGGACCAGATATTAAGTTTGTAAAGAATGATCAGCTGCCCCAGTGGCTCAGTGGGTAAATTCAAAGCTGGTTGCGATTTTATGCTGTATACAACATCAAATGGGATTCCTCAATAAGGATTAAGACTACGTCCCCTAACTGGTCTAAAAGTTGATCGGATCAGAGTGGAGACCCTGCACGTCAGAGTGCCTCACCTCCGATGTCCATGTTAAGGAATCCCATTAGAAATTGTGACATGTTAGACTGTAATATTGGTTTCAAGCCAAGGAGAGTAGGAGGATTCACGTTTGATCCTGGTCTTTGCCATGCTCATCAATCTCAGCCAAGACAATGGTGAGTGGGGGTATCTGCAAGATGTCCTTATCACTCCTCTGAGGTGTTGGGAAAGGGCAAATCTTATTATCAGTATTTCATGACAGCCCCCTCCCTCCCACGAGAAAGTGATATGTGTGGGTGTCAGATACGGAGAGGGTTGGACTGCTACATGCCCCACAGTCAAATAGGCTGCCAACATTCATTCGGGCTCACACATGAAAAATGGTCACTTGGGTTTTTCCCATTGATGTCAAAGCCTGTTCTAAGTCACTGCCTTCGGGAGAGAAGACTGGAAGAAATTGCTGGGGAGATAAACCACTTTAATAAAAATCCTCAGCTGCTATGGTGACGGCAGTTTTATTTGGGAAATTTTTGCCAAGCAGTAATGATGAATATAAATTCCAAAGGCGGAACATGGTTGGCAATCCCCTAAAATTGGCATAAATCAGAAATATGTATCAGTACTATAAATAATAAAAGGATGGTTGGGAACCTGTCCAATATTGCAACCGGCTTGTATGTCATGGATTACCATTCATAGAGGGGGTCATGATGTAGTCAGTTTGTTAAAACAAGTGACGTCCTGAAGCATATTGGTTAGAGCACTTGCCTCACAAGCAAGAGGATCTGGGTTCAATTCACGGGCAGGGCGAAACCT